TGAAGGTGCCTATTGTTTTTGGTAAAGATCGGTTAATATTTAGGGGATGAAATGGACCAAAAACTAAATTTTTGTCTGATTTTCTGGTCGCTCTAGAGGCCGCAATTATGGCCCAACCACCGCGAATTTCTACATGGAGAAGGGGATTGGGCCAAAGAATAAGCATGCCTGTTTTGATGAAGATCGATCAATATTTAGCGGGTCAAATGGACCCTAACTTTTGTGTGAAAAATGACAAAATTTGTATTCCTGAATTACATAGAGCCGAGAAGTTGATAGTATATCCGAGAAGTTGATACCAATTATATTTTCGTATGTACTCGGATGCGGGAGTTACACTTAAATATTTACAGGCGCTTACGTACTCAGATATTATTTAGTAACACATTACCTCACTGGAGGCGGAAATACAGCGCGGATCGCTTTAAAAATTTCCATGAGGATCCAGGAATGGTCAAGGATAACGCCTATAATTTTCGGTGATGATCAAATAATAATATTGGGATGAGGTGGACCGAAAACTTAATTTTTTGTGTTTTTTCTAGTCCATATATAGTCCACAATTGAAAGTCGAACATCATAACACAACCCACCGTGAAGGGAATCTGGACAAGTAATTAGAAGGGTTTTACTGAATATTAGTATTATTTGCTGACCTCTAGTCGGTCAAGAGGGTGTAAATATAGCGAAATATTTTCCATGCTCAGAATATATAACCACAAAAAGTTAGATTTTCGTGGAAGTTGTGTAGGGTATCATATGGTCGGCCCCGTTTGACTATACTGCTCCGCTTACTGGTTTAATGAAGTTTTTGGTCAATTATTCTCCTTCTCCATTAGTCCTTAATAAGTCTGTAATGCAATATATTCCATAGCATACAAATTATAGATGTATGGTTTTAATAATAAAAATCTTTAAAAATTATACTTTGAGCTAATGATGTAAATATTTTTTATAACTAAATAAATTAAAAAAAATTATATCTAAAAGTATCCAGTTTTTAATAGATATTTGCCAATATCTAGCAGAGAAATTAGCATGCATTTTTGAAAACTTTTCAATATTTAGTAGGACAGCTGGGAGGATTTTTTTAATATTTCAAGGATTCTTTATAGCCTTCATTATAAGAGGAGGGAATATTAAATTTATCATTACATTTGCAACAACCCGAAATATTTGGTTGGAAAGTAATCCAATATTTTTATATGAACTATAGGATTTTATTTAACAAGCTTCGAAATGTCTGATTTGGGCCAAATATGCACCGTTTTGTTGTATGATTTGTTTCCATTTTGAAGATAAGTTCATAATTCCTCTCTCATAGAAGTCCTGCAAAAAAACTATAGTAGTTGATTTTCACAATACTCCCTAGATACCAATTTTTTTATCATTAAAGAAATTTTGCAATGTCAAAAAAAAAAAATATGATACTCGTTTGGTGCCATGTCCGGACTGTATGGAGGATGCATTAAAACTTCCCAACCAAGCTCCAAGTTTCTGGCGAGTTACTGTAGATGTGTGTGTGGCCTATCGTTGTCCTGGTGGCCAATTCTGGACGTTTCTAGTCAATTGTAAATTGGTTTAAAACAGTTTTATGGTCGATTTTTAGCTCCTGGGTGATGTTACGACTGCTAAATGTCACCCTTCCAACGATCATAAATCTGAAATTGTTTGATCGATACTTTACGAGAAATATATCGGTACAACCATCTACCGAAAAATAATGGCTATATTTTTTCCCAACCTAATACAATATAATTGAAATGAAACTCATGGTTTAGTAAAAACAAAAGAAATGGATTACAAAAAAATTATAATTTTTTCAAATAGTATTTTTTATAATATTGTATTTTTTAATAAAAAATCATTCCTATTTTTATAACCCAACCAAATATTTTTTTATAAAAAATATGTTTGTTCTACTGTATTGCTTAAATTTGTATTTATTTAAATAAATTTCTGTGTTGTTTTGTTCGACCTTTTGATTCTTATATAATAAAATAATATATTTTTGTATTGTTTGTAGATTATCCTGAAGATGCAATTTAAAACAATTGCGAAATATTGATCGTGAAAAATAAAAAAAGACCTCAAGCTCGAAAAAAATATATTATTTTATTAAATAAATTTCATGATATGTTCGTATTCTAAAATAACATTTGATCGAGCAAAATGAACATTGTCACTAAAATTAATTCATGCAATAGATTTATTAACGGCTAAATTTCACGACTACTAAATTTCAAGTTAAGTTAAAATATAAACTAAGTACACATTCTTGTGACTTCAATTATTTTGTTTGTTTAAAATCCATGTTCAATTATTATTAATATTTACTTTATTTTGTATTATTTTATTTAAAATAAAATAATTAAAAAATAAATTTAATTAAATATAAAACATTGATATACATTAAATTAAAGCATTTGTTTTTTTGTCTATAACTATTTTTTTAAATAACAAAAAATAATTTAAATATAACAAAGAACAATTTGAAAATATTCCATTCAGTTAAATTTCAAGACAAAAAATTCGCATTTCACATCAAACAGTACACAAAAATGTTTGTTTAAAAACTCTTAATTAAAAATAACAAACCACAATTGACAGCTTATTTAAGTGTTCATTCCACACATACAGAGAAAGAGAGAAACAGAAAAAAACATGCAGCAAAAAAAAACCAATAAAATAAAAAAATCAACTGTAACAAGCCCATTTTCAATATTGAGATTTTAAAATAAAATCATCACGTTATGTGTTGTATTCATTGCACAGACATTACTCTGTGTTGCTGTTGACATCCATAGCTAAATTACAACACCAACAACAACAAAGTACGAAAGCGTTGATTATATTCTGACTGACGACAACATCACATTCACATGGTAGGTTTCTTGCTATGCATAATCATTTGTTTCACAGTCAGCCTGCACACACACGCACACACCTTAGCCCATTAATTCACTTACTCACTCACTCCTTTCTGTTAACCAGTTAAACCAACAAGGCAATAGAACCCCACCTTTGTTGTGTGTGTGCGAGAGAAGAGTGTGAGAAACAAAAACAAGAAACACATCGGGAATAGAGGCTGAGAAAATGTTTTCTTCAAAAGAGTAACACAATGTATATGGAGCATAGCACAGCAACAACAACAGCAATGCCTTCCAAATGATTACAATAACAAAACATCACAAATAAAGAACTCACACATAACCATGCTCTGCTTGCGCTTACGCTCTGTGCAATTGTAACAATAACATTATTTGCTTAATAAGACGAAATCTCCGCACACAGAATAACAACAACATCCCCAGAGACTTGAACAACTAATTTCTGTGTGGTGTGTGTGTTTGATAGAGTGAGAGAGGCAGAGAGACAATTTTCTTTGGCTCTTGATGGGTAACAAGAGCTTTTGTATATAATTGAGTTGTTGCTTGACTAAACGAAGTGGACAACGACAAACGGTCGTAGACCATTTGGGGAGTATAGCAGCAACAACAACAAGAACTTGTTTTGTTTTGCTTAACAGCAAATAGGGGAATGTGTGTCTAATGATTATTGTTGTTTCTTTCGTTTTAAGGTAATTATAATGAGGGAGAAGAGAGTGGCTATAGTTATTGTTGTGTAATAAACTCCTCCCCTTAATGATTTGGCTTTCTCTTTCTGTCTAAAGGTCTTTAGCGGAGAGTAAATGAAAGAACAAATATGTTGATGGTTTAATAGGAAGTTGTTGTTGTTTCTGCTGTGTTGTTGTTGCTTGGGGATTCTTTTTAAGAGAAATGTCAGTTGTCTTTTTTAATAAAGTCATAAAGTTTGCTAACAAGCCCATACGCTTTTTCGCAAAGGAACCAAAACCCTCGTCGTGTTGTTGTTGCTGTTTTTGCGGAGTGTGTGTTGTCTTGTAATGGCATGGAAGTGGTTGTTTTTCTGTTCATGAATATATTCACGAGTACTTGCGCCAACTGCATCTCCTCTTGTAACCGGAATAAGAAAAAAACACATAAAATTGCTACAATTTTCCAGCCAACGTCGTTATTTGAGCTGCTAAACAGAAACATTGGCCAAACGTCTGTCAGATTGCAGGTGACATCTGTAAGTGTCACACACAGAAATTTAGGCGAGCGCTTAACGTATATAACTACTCGGTCGTAGTTATAAAAAATATAAAAAATATTTATATAACGAAAAAATATTCAAAGTCAATGGTATTTTCTGTGAACTTAAAAAAAGAAAATAAGAACAATATCTTGTGTTTTCCTGCCCAACATCATCATCATCCCATCATCGTTTGCAAACTTCACAAGTCAATCAACAACAAAAAGACAAATCTCAATTGAGCTGGCATACATATTCAGTCTCGGTTGGTCTCTAACATTCGCTCTCTCTCTCTCACTCGCTCGAACGTTCATTCGTTCTCTTGCACATAACGGCCAGCCTCCTTGTCTAGCCCATTGCTGTGTGTGAGCAGAGGCTCTGAAAAGAAAAAGAGCCGGTTAAGGGTGTGAGTGCGTACACATTTAATAGAATAAATATATGTGTGTGTGTGAGTGAATGTGTGTGCTGTGTTTGCTTTGCTGCTTCAGTTGGTAAAGACGTTAAGCAACTGTGATTAGTTAATTTACTCGTTGACTTCAACGTGAACGGACGTGTCAAAGAGAGTACGACAAAAAACTAAATACAAGAAACGATACGGTATTATAAAAATAATAACAACAAGAAAAATAAAACCAAACACAATTTACGCCTAGTGGATTAATGAAATAAATAGCAGCAACAACAAAAATTATAAGGAATATTTTATTGAAAAAAAAAAATAAAATCAAGTGATAATTGTGAAATTACAACAACCACAAAATAAGTTTAAATGTATATTAAAATTTAGAAAAATTTGCTAAAGCAAAAAACAAGTGGAAAAAATTTGAATTTTTCTTAACTAAAAAAGAAAGAAAAAAATAATTCCCCTACCACACCAAAAAACCCCAAATTTTTGTGTTACCACAAATGGCCTTAGAGGATCGTTGTAGTCCCCAATCAGCACCATCGCCTCCAGGTCTACCTCAATCGCCACAAGCCAATCAAGCAACACCCCCACAGCCGCAACAACAGCCGCCAGCCTATTACAATCCGGCTATTTTGGATATGAGTTTATCACAAACCAGTATTGTTGATCCTGCCACAGCCACAGTTGCAGCAGCCGCCGCCATGTTACCCCACACAGTTGCCTCGTTGTATCAGCAACAACAATTGCAGCATTTGCAACAATTACATCATTTACAACAATTACATCAGCAGCAATTGGCCGCCGGTGTTTTCCAACATCCCTATGGCCACGATATGAGTGGTCAGGCCCGTTTGAGTGTCTCACCCGGAGCCCATTCCACGACATCTTCCACACCAGCCTCCTCAATGACCATCAAAGAAGAAGAAAGTGAATCCATTATGGGTGATAGCTTTTCCGGCGAACACGAACAATCCTCATCGTTTAATCATCAAAATGTCACCGAAGATGAGGATGAGGAATGTGATATCGATGTGGATGTCGATGAGACAGAGGAAGAGGATAAGTCACGCATACCACCACCAGCCCATCAACAGTCGAGCAAACCCACATTGGCCTTTTCCATTTCGAACATCTTAAGCGATCGTTTTGGTGGTGTGGAACACAAAGAAGATACTCCCACAGCAAGACAGACACAATTTCCTCAGCAGGGATCCAGCATCTATAGGCCATTCGATCAATCGCGGGCAGCCACGGCAACTCCATCGGCTTTTACCCGTGTAGATTTATTGGAATTGAGCCGGCAACAACAGGCTGCTGCCGCCGCTGCCACTGCAGCCATGATGATTGAAAGGGCCAATATTTTGAATTGCTTTAACCCAGCTGCCTATCCTCGTATCCATGAGGAAATTCTACAAAGTCGTATGCGTCGTACGGCGGGTCACCTCATGCCCGGTGCTCATAAAATGATGACAGATCCTTCATTGGTGTCACCACCCCCACCTTCCGCGCAATCCGCTTTGGGTTCATTGTGTAAAACGGTGTCCCAAATTGGTCAGACAACACCACCGGCAACGGCATCCACCAATGGTTCGAATAATTTGCTACTATCTACACCACCTGCCTCGTCCACACCATCAGGATCATCTATGGCTTCACCACCACCCTGTTCCTCATCATTGCCAAATACCTCGATGAGTTCATCAACAAGCTCTGCATCATCATCCGCATCATCTGCCTGCCCTTCATCGTCATCGGGACATTCTTCACAGAATTCTTCACCCACCAGCCGTAAAAATCAAAGTCCCCAACCCATCCCTCCGCCGTCGGCAATTAGCCGAGATTCCGGTATGGAAAGTTCGGATGATACCAAATCGGAAACGGGTTCGACGACAAATTCGGAAACGGGCAAAAATGAAATGTGGCCAGCGTGGGTGTTCTGCACGCGTTACAGTGATCGTCCCAGTTCTGGTGAGTAAAGGAAAAAACAAATTTTTTATATTTTTTAAGGAAAAATATAGGGCTTTCTTATAGGGGAAGAGAGAAAAAACACAATATATATTATTTTTTTAATTATCAACTATTTTCTCTCTCCATATTTTTAATTTTCCTATCCTTATCAAATTTCAAGGTTCTAATTGTTTTGCCCAATTTTCCAATAGCCATGGCGGTATTTTTCTTTTTTTGACCTCCATATTTTTTTGTTTTTACTAAATGACAGCATAAATTGTCATTGGTTGTGAAGGTCATTTTTTTGGCTCTTAAATTACAGCATAGATTTCAATTTTGTCATTTCTTATTATCCAAAAAAATTATGACCATTATTGTCCCACAAAACAAAAACAAAAGAAGAGCGGCAAATCTCCTTACAACAAAAAGAGATAAATGTCCTGCTGTGACCACACAACGGTAACATGTCATGAATAGTGTAAATGTTTGGCCGGCATTTAACGTTTGATGTTATCGGGACACACACATGCATTTACTCGATTCGATTCTCCTCTCTGCTCAGCTCCAGATGACATTCAAGGCCTGTTATCAGCTTGACAAAAATATTCAAGAGATGACTCCCCTTGTCACCAAAAAAAAAAAAAAAAAAAAAAAAAAAAAAAATACACCACACAAACAACAAAAACTACTTAAAGACACACATCTTTTTGTTGTTATTGTTGTTGTTGTTGAATGAGATGCTGCTTGGGTAGCCGGCAGCTAGTCCGTGTATCATTAAGATTTGTGTAAGATAGCTGTTCCCTCTCTAGTTTAAAAGCAAATGCTGAGCGATAAACCAGAAGAGGGGGAGAGCCGAGCAAGACATGGCTTGCGACACGTGCTTCTTAAGGATTTGTTTTTTGGTAATGAATAAAAAGGGTTTCCAAATGATATTTTATCACTTTGTTTATAATTTTCCGTATGATGGGGCATAAAGAAGCCACTGTTCGTGGGGGTAGGGGAAAAGGGAGATTTGAAAATTAATTTTAAGTGATTTTTTATTATTTTAAATGGTTTTTTAATAGACAACCAATGACAGATTTATGGCAAGAGGCCATATACTTGGTTTTAGAAAATTGATGATAGAGAGAGGAGAGAGGGGGGGGGGAGGAAGAAGAAAAAAAAAAAATAAATAAGTAAACAAGTAAAATATGATTATGATTTATGTTTAAAGAAAAGTTAAACATTTTTGGAGAAATTTCAACATAAGTGGTTTTTAATTGAAACGCCATAAAAATTATTAAAAATATTAAAAAATGATATGAAAATAAAAATTTGAAAAAAAAATTAATTAAAATAAAAAAATTAATTTGAAAAAAATTATATAAAATTAAAAATTTTAAATAAAAAAAATAATTTAAAAATTTCAATTAAGAAATTAAAAAAATAAAAAAAAATTAAAAAACAATAATTTAAAATTTTAAACATTAAACATTTTGCTTCGACAAAAATGTTAATTTTTTTAAATTATATATATATATATATATATATATAAATTAATTTACAAAAATTTAATCAAAATAATTATTAATTTTTATTAGGAAAAAAATTAAATTTGTATTCGAAAAAAAAATATTTAAACTTTAAAATCATCTTTTTTATTTTGCCTCCATAACACCTGTTTTGCATTCTTTCAAATTTCATTGAAATTCCCTCCACCTCTACCTAATAAAAAAATTTTGCTTACTTTTCTTTTGAATTAAAAAAAAAAATACAAAAAATATCGAAAGCGAAAAAATGTCTCTTTGTCCATGACAGCTGTCATCATTTATTGTCTCGCTGAATGGCGTCGGCATTGTTTCAAAGTTAATAATTTTTTATTATTTTTCTTTAATGTTTTTTTATTCTCCTTCTACACCTTAATAATATAATCATTATTAGGAATAGGAATTTGCAGTGTCAATGACAAATTTCCAATTAATATTCTGGGGCCATCTTGCGCCGACTACCACTCATTTTTTGTTTTTTTTTTTTTTTTATTTTCTCATTTGCAAATTGAATTCCTTTTATTTATTGATGTCATTATAATGTTTTTTATACAACATTTTTTTATTAATTTATTTATTTTTTATGTTTCATTTTAGGCCCCCGTTACCGTCGCCCCAAACAACCCAAAGATCCCAAAGCCTCCGATGAAAAGAGACCAAGAACTGCATTCTCCGGCGAACAATTGGTCCGACTAAAAGTAAGTATCTTGAAAATATAAGAGTTTTATTATTTTACTAAAAAAATTCTAGAGGATATTCATAAAAAATGAAAACTTAAATGGAAATTATGGAAAAAAAATTTTTTTATAATTTTTTAAGGCATAGAATTGTTAGGGGGGTTTTTTTAATAATTTTTACGTCATTTCTTTTTTAACTTAGAAATTTAAATTTAAAAATTAATTAAATAATTAAAAAAATTAAGATTTTTTCCAAAAAATATTTTTTTCCTGAAAAAATATTTTTTTCCTGTTAGGGGTTTTCAATAATTTTTACGTCATTTCTTTTTTAACTTAGAAATTATAATTTAAAATTAAATTAAATAATTTAAAAAAATAAGATTTTTTCCAAAAAATATTTTTTTTCTGAAAAAAATTTAAATGAAAAAATTAATTTCATTTTAAGGACATTAAAGTCCACATTTTTCTTGCCTTCATAAAAAAATATTTCTGTTAAACCTGATGTTAATTGGCTAGAATATTTTGTTCCCTCATCCCTCAGGGCCATGAATAATTCATGGCTAATTTAAAACAACAACAAAAAAGGCAATAGAAGCCTATAAAGAAAAACAAAAAAGAAATAGACAAGCAAGTCATTAAGCAGCTCCTCCATATGGTGGCACTAATAAGCAAGGACATTTTCAAAATAAAAATTAAAACAACAAATATTTCTCTTCTGTGTGTACACATTTTTCACGACTCATAACGAATTGAAAATTTATGAGTATTTCCAAATGTGTTTTTGCCTATTGTCCAACTCAAAATATTTACATCACCACCTAGGGAGCCAGCCTAGCTAACACAGAGCAACCAGTTTTCCATTGTGATATGATATCCTGCTAAGAGAATTTTCTTTTACAAAACCGCAACTAAACGCCTTGACTTTGAAACAAAAACACTTTAAGGAAAACCTTTTTTTCAGTTTTCTTTTGAGTGTGTCTGTGTGTGTGTGTTTTTGTTTATTGTCCAGCGGCAATTAGTTGTGGTCTGGCCGTTTAAACCACCATAAATAATTGATTTACTAATGGTTTTCCTTCTCTCTCTCTCTCCCTTTGCAGCGTGAATTCAATGAAAATCGCTATCTAACCGAACGAAGACGCCAACAATTAAGCGCCGAATTGGGTTTAAATGAGGCCCAAATTAAAATCTGGTTCCAAAATAAACGCGCCAAAATCAAGAAATCCACCGGCACCAAAAATCCCCTGGCCCTGCAATTAATGGCCCAGGGTTTGTATAATCACACCACCGTGCCGCTAACCAAAGAGGAGGAAGAATTGGAAATGCGGATGAATGGACAAATTCCATAAATTCGTAACTTACAAAAAAAAAAATCCCTAAAACCAGATTAGTGCAATACCTTCAAATATGTAAATACAAAAACAACAACAACAACAACAAGGAGGACAAACAAAGCAAGGAGTAGCAGCAGCAAAACAAAACAAAAAATTGTAAATTATTTTTGTTTAATTTTAAATAGCAAGTTTTTTTTTAATTAATGTGATATAGTTATTGTAAATCAATTATGCTAAAAACTCCAGGCTTTTTGTAAATTTTCTTGAAAACAAATCTAAAAAAAAATCCAAAACTCCCCTTTTGAAAAAATTGTAAATTATTTAAAAATTAACATAATCCATAATTTATTGGCGATCTATGGAATTCAAATATTTCAAGACAAGTCATACAAAAAGAACCCCAAAACAAGAAGAAGAAGAAGAAGTAGTAGAAGCAAATGAAAAAAGTGGTTGAAAAACAAAAAGTCTCTCACACACACAAACAAGTATTATTTTTTTTCTGCCCAGATTTTGTCAAATCTCTTTTAAATGTATATTTAATTTTGTAAGCTATCATATAATAACAATGCTAAACAACAACATCTTATAGCTTAAACTATAATAATTACAAAACAAAAAATAACAACAACAACAAAAAACAACAACTGTTATTTTTCTCTTTTTGCTAGTATTGTAATGTTGATCTTCAAAAACAAATATCCAACTTCTTCACGTGTATATAAATATAATAATTATTATTTTTTGGTTCGTATTGTATAAATTATTATTTATATATATATGTATTATATATTATAGTATTTTTTAATTTATAAAAAAAATTAGTTTTCCATAAGTTTAATTTTATTTTAGTTTATTTCGTTTATAAGTTATATGTTTGTTATTATTTTAAGTATTTAGAATATAGAACAATTTTTTTTTGGAAAATAATGAAAAGCATTATTGACACAAAACAATATAAATAAAACAGAAAAAATATTTAAATACCAAATATTATTGAAAAAAAAAAAACAAACCAGACTTTTGATTTAATAATAAAAAAACTTTTTGGGGCGTATAAATAAAATAAGCGAGAACTAAATAAATTAAATTGAAAATAAAAAACGTTACCATGCAATGTTATTTTCTGGCGACGTTAAATCCTTCTTCAAGAAATCCTTGTTAATTATTTTCAATGACCTCCACACGAGCTGCTTCAAACATTAATTTCTAATTTTCGAACTCTTTTTGATACATATTTGGCGGTATCTTAGAAATAACTTGGCGAATATTAATTTTAAGGTGCTGAAGAGTTGAAGTACCCTATAAAAAGTCTAATGGTGTCAACCGAATTATATTGGTGGCCTGCTGATATGGACAAGACGAGGAATTACGCGGCCAGGAAATGTCTCTCGTACTAAAGCCATTTACGCTCGAGTTTTGTGGCATGTGGCACTGTCTTGTTGAAACCACATATCCTCCAAATCGTATTCATCAATAGCAGGCAAAACAAGTAAAACGTCGTTAAGATCGTCCAGGCCGAACCTTCAATACCCTCCATCACTTGGGGTGCATTCAAAATGTCCATACGTCGATCGGGACATTTATAGGGGTATAGTAGGTTGTTCATACTCTGAAAAAATAGTTTCCCAAATTACAGACACTCTAGTTGGAAAACTTAAAGGGGACTTTTTATACCCTACACAACTATGTTGTTAGGATATTAAATCACCAAGAGAGCTTTTAACGCCGCGTAATATTGGTCCTATACCCACATTTTAGCATACCGATCGTCATGTCTTGACTAGTTGAGTCGATCTAGACATATCGCTCATTTGCTGCAAGACAGGCATAACTAAAAACAAGTGAAAAAGCTTTAAGTTCGGCCGGGCCGAACTTTGGATACCCTCCACCATAGAAATACTGAAAAATTTTTGAAATTAAAATATTGGGAACATACATATAACTATAATTCTAACAATCGATTGTTGTAAACCAAATAAAATATTCCAATTTAGAGGGCAAATTTATAAGAGGCATACTAAAGCGGGACCAATATTGACAACATTGTGTAGGAATTAGCGAATACTTGGTGTTTTTATTATATAAGAGGTTATTCCTAATTAAGGGCCGATATAGCTCAAGATAATAATTTAGTTTTGAATCCCAATACCGTGCATCACGCTAAATATTATAAATTTTTGTGTAGATATTTGGCACTAAATAAAAACCCAGTGTACCCAATAAGAACTCAAAGTACTAAATTTCAGCGAATTCGGTTGAAAAACGAGATCAAGAACCTCAAAATACCGAACATTGGGGGTACCCTTATATGGGAGCTATGTCTAAACGTGGACCGACATATCCCATCTTCGAACTAGACCTGCCTGCAGACAAAAAATTTTGGGCGATCTATCTCAATTCATTAAGACGCTAGAGTGATTACAACAGACGGACATGGTTAAATCGTCATAGAATTTTACGCTGATCAAGAATATATATACTTTATAGGGTCGGAAATGATTATTTCGATGCGTTACAAACGGAAAAACAAAACTAATATACCCTCCATACTATGGTGGAGGATATAAAAACGATTTTGCAGAAAATTCGTTTTAAATTTTCAATTTAGTCACACTTTATATGGGACAGAGGAACTTCTACAGCTTGTCAATTAGAGTGTGTAAGAGATATTCATATGCATTTTTAACACAACATGAAGTCTTTTATAGCGAACTATCGTGCATCATTAACTCGAAAATCAAATTTTTTTAGTTATGTCTGTCATGCAGCAAATGCGTCCGTCCATCTGTCCATTATAATTTGTAAACACGATACAGACAGATCGCTATGTTTTTGGTAATTATCGGTTAAGGTTTAAGAGATGAAATAGATCAAAACTTTATTTGTGTTTTGTTTTTCTGGCCGCTCTAGAGACCACAAATATGACCCTAACATCAAGAATTTTGACACAGAGAAAGGGGTCTGACCGGGGAACAAGCAAGGATATTTTCATGATAATCGGTCAATATTTAGCGGGTCATAACGACTCCATTTTTATACCCTACACAACTATGTTGTCAGGGTATTATAGCTTTGTGCAGCCCCAAAAGTTTGTAACGCCGCGAAATATTGGTCCCAGACCCACCTTTAAGTATACCGATCGTCATATCTCGAATAGCTGAGTCGATCTAGATATGTGTGTTCGTCCGTCCGTCTGTCCATTATAATTTGTAAACACGATACAGGCCACAGTTATGGAGCAATCTTCACGAAATTTTGCATGTAGGTGAAGTAATCTGGACAAGTAATTAGAGGGGCTGTACTGATTATTAGTAACATTTGCTGACCTCTAGCCAGTCAAAAGTGTGCAAATATCGCGAAATATGGCCCAATCTCAGAATATCGAACCGCAGAAAGTTAGATTTTCATGGAAGTTGTGTAAGGTATCGTATAGTCGGCCCCGTCCGACTATACTGCTCCGCTCACTGTTTTTTTTTTTTTTTTTTTTGTGAAAAATTACAAAATTTTTATTCTATGGCTTGTATATTTACTCTCGAGAAGTTTATAGTATATTCAAATAGAGAGTTTAACCTTTAAATCGACCTTTAAATACAATTATATTGGTGTATGTCCTCGGATGTGGGAGTTATACGTAAACCAGAGTAAGAAAGAGGAGCTGTTGACCTCTAATCGGTCAAGACAGTGCAAATATCGCAAAATATTGCCCAGGTTCGAAAAATAGATCCGTAGAAAGTGGTAGGTTGTTAGGTATAATATGGTCGGACCCGTCCTAATTATATCCACTTATATGAGAAAATTCGGTTAGAATTTATTAATAGCGAAAAAAAGCTGAACTTCTATGTGGAGCTACATCAGAACTTGGACATACCATCTGTACTACAAATGATTTCACTACCCAAAATAATCAATATTGATCCCCGTTTTGGTATGACCCGACGTCTTTTTCGGTATATTCAATTTTTATAATACTATGAGTTTTATATGAGTGAGCCATATTTTGAATGCCATTTGATGAATCAGGTTAGAGCGAATTCGGTAGAAAACATGCCCAATCACCCCAAATTCCATGAAAATGATATGATTCTGTTAGAGTGGTCGTGGTGATCACTTTGTTGATAATTTATTAAATTAAAAATTAAATTAAACAGTTAATAATTTATCTCAAAAACAATTACTTGTTATACCCTCTTCCATGAGATGGGCATTAAAAATCTATCAAATCGATTTGACTTTTATATAGATGTTACGTCTAGCCAATTCGGTTGAAAAACCTGCACAAAATACATATAATCCGAAACTCAGGTCAATATAGTTAATAAACATGGTTTGAGATTTTCAACTTAATGATAATCCATAATACTAAATTACAGGACTTGTTTGGACTCGTTTTTGAGCAGAATTGTCACTAATTTTATGTTTCAGGTTCTCATGGTTCTTTATCATAAAAATCTTCATACCATCTTCTCATTTTAGCAGAAAAGGTTCCGTCACATTTTTGACATTATTAATTTTTTACCCGAATTTTCTCATCAAAGTGGCTATCAGTTGGCATATTGAACTTGCCAAAAATAATGTTCTAATTATTAATTTATAACATTAGTTTTGAAATTTTAATTTCCAATTTTTATAATGTCTCTTATTATGATTGCCCAACATTTTCGCCTCAAATTATACAAAACAATATTTAAATATTGTTTGCATTATTTGAACACAATTTTCCCATTATTCACAACAGTCATCACCTGTTTCATTGTCCAGATCCAATTCCCATTTAAATTTTTATGATGTTTGGATCATAATTATGGTCTATAGAACGATTAAAGAAAAAGAGACAGAAATTAAGATGTTGGTACATTTGATCACATAAATATTAAGGTATAGATTTCAATATTCGATATGGTTCATAATACACAATATCCCAGCATATTCAGATATACCTCTAAGCATAAACTTCGACATCCGAAGTTATTTAATTTAATCATTTAATCACTCTAACGTCTAAAAGAATTGAGATAGAGTGCCCATCATGAAGTTCGATGGTGGGATTTATCGGTC